TGATGCCTCAAAACCACACTTCCAACAACTTCAAGAACAACTCATTGGTCATGGACTCAATGCTCTTGGTTCACTCTCCGAAACCATCAACAACCTTCATGGTTCAGTCACTAGTGGTCGATAGGATGTTGCATCTTCTTGTTTTTATGATGAAATAAATTATTTTGTTTGAAAAAAACAAAATCGAAACTAATTATTGTTCGAATTTTTCTTTTGTTGTCTCAACAGAGTCAATATTTTTTTGATTTCAACTAGTCTATTTGTTCTTTTTGCTATTCAAAGAAATTTGAGAACAATCTACATGCTCATGACAGACATTGAACAGCACAACAAGCTACATCCATAAACGGGATGGCTAGGTATTGAATTAAGTGAAACAAGACGAAACCATTACAATTAATTAACTTTCTGAGCACTATAAGTAATGGACATCGTTCTTCCAAAGTCTCCGTATGGGTGTATCCATAGGAAAATTACCTATGCATAATATTCAATATTCTCCTGTATTTTGGAAAGTAATCAGACAGTGATGTTCTAGTCTTGAAAAAAATCTGTCGGCTTTTTCATTTACCTTTGTGATAATTTCTGCTCCTTGTCTTAATCATTTATCGAACTTTGACACGGTAGATGGAGTTGATCATCGCGAATGCAATGAATCAGACTTGCAAAACTTATTAGTCCAATAGTATTGGAGAATATGTGTCAGCCAACGCCAACAAGACATATGAATCAAACAACCCACCTGAAAAAGTGCTACTAGATAAAACGTCGAATTTATGGTTACTTTCAAATGATAAATATTCAAAGCATTTCAAGTATTTATGAAAAACTGACGAATGAAGAAAATCATTCGCCCCTTCGATAGTGGAAAAAATTTCTAAATTATTTATTTTCTTTATTAATTGTTGATAGATGAATATCATCCATCGAATTCTTATGACGATGTATATTGAGCACATATTTTATCTTAATCTATCTATTGATGGAAAATGATTTATGTTGTTAATTTATTTTAGATAAATTTACAGAAAAACAAAAATGTTCAATCTTAACTTTTCGGCTAAAATCAGAGAAGCTGAAGAACATGTAAAGCAAGGGGAAAAATATATGAAGACATCATTTCTTAAATGGAAACCAGATTTAGATTCAGCTATTGATGAATTTGATAAAGCATGTACTTGTTATCGCGTAGCTGAAAAATATGACCAATGCCGAGATTTATCAATACGAGTGGCTGAATTACAGATTCAAAAAGGTAATTTTCATTAACATAGGATGTCTCTATTCCTTTCGATAGTAAAAAGAATACTTTTACGATCGATTCAGCTTGATCGATAGAAATTTCTCACAGAGAGAAATAAGAACATAATGCAATAGTTCATCAGATGGTGACAATTGAATATTCATGTCATGAACGAAGAAACCTTTTATTTTCTTAGAGATTAGCTCATTGTGTTGACCAGTTATTTTATTATAACCATAGTGAATACATAGTCTTTAGTTCACGATAAACAAGTCGCTGATATTTTCATACGAATGTAGAATTTTAACATCGCTATTCGTATTTGATGAGAAACCTGCGTCTATGAATTTCAGGAACTCCATTTTTTGCTGCTAAATCCTACGAACAAGCAGCACAAATGACACAACAATTACAAGATCTGCCAACAGCTGCTAAATATTATGACCGAGCAGGACAATTATATGTTGAAGGAGGTAGAAATTCAGCTAATTCCAACGACGCAGATAAACTAATTCTAGCATTTTTCTTTTAAGGTTATCGTGATTCGGGTGCAATTCTATATGAACGTTGTGCACTACAATTTCAACAAATGGATCGTGCTGTTACAATTGATTTCTATCTTAAATCTGCACGTTTAGCCGAGCAAGAAGATAAAGCATATCAAGCTGCTGATCTATATGAAAAAGCAGCGATGCAGGCGATACGAATGAGTAATTTTCCGAAGACGAGCGAATTACTCGAAGAAGTAACAGAGATTCTTACGAAAATCGACCGATTTGATCGAATCAATCGAATTATACTCTATAGAGTACTACTTAAATTGTTCAATGAAGATAGTGTTGCTGGCCGAAATATTTTTAATCAAGCTTGTCAAAATTATCCAACATTTGATAATTGGGAAGAACGAGATCACATTGGATCATTACTCGATGCATTCGATCTGGATGACAAAGACTTAATTAGTCAACGTTGCCAAGTAATTTGACGTCTTTCTTTTTTTGTTGAATTCAAATTCTCTTTATAGAAACCTTTTTTCATGGCTATTGAACCGGAATTTGTTCGATTAATGAAACGATGGATTCGTCCAACAACAGATACGCAATCATCAAATAATGCAGCTCAACAACGAACAACGAATTCTACTGCGCCATCGACCAGCAGCGGAACGAAACCAATACAATTAGATGATGACGATGATTTACGTTAATTGATAATATCTATATTTTCTTTTCTTTTTTTTTTGTATTTACACAATGCGTTGTTTATTTTTTATCAAGTTACTTCTGTTCACTATTGTTTCATGATTGATAATTGGTGCTTAATACTTTAATATTATAAACATGATGAAATATATGAAGCAAAACAAAAGAACTGGTCGAACAAGAAATCATTTATGTCGGTTCCAATGGAAATAATTTTTCTAAAATTAATAACTGTACATTTTGCGTTTATTAGGTGTGAATTCATTTTTCTTTGAAGTTATTGCATACGTCCCAAATACACTGACAGGCACGTACAATGTTTTCTGAATGAAATTAAAATTTTCTTGAAAGATGAGTTTAACATGTTGTCAATTGATGGTCCGAGATAGAACCTAAAAGTTAATCTGCTGCTTTTCTATTAAAAAATGCCATTTTTGTAGGAAATAAAATATAGGAGCAACTTACCCTCTAAGAAAAATAGGTATAATATTCAACTCAGTTAAGGTCTGTGGCACGAAAATGCGAAATCAATCAGGTTTGAAACGAAGCTGTAGAGGTTTCGCTTAAAACCATAAAGTATTTGTCTTGAACCTTTTTTTAGTCCCACGAATCTTCAGATGATTTCGTAGCTTCTGTGAAATTAAAAAGGGTTCGGCAGTAGACCTATGTTTCTTCGAGAATAATCGTGTGCACTATATAGAATCATCAAGAATTTTAAAAAATAGTGATTGAATGATCTAAATTTTATTGCTTTATTTCTCTCGTTAACAGCGCATTACGACAAAAGTTGAACATTATAGTAAAATACACTGCTTGGGCGTTAATCCTTACAGGGGAATTATTTTTAGTATTTCTTCTCTGATTTCGAAAAAATTTCCGATACTCTCTTCTCGTTCTTTATTCAAAATACTACATTAATTTTTGCAACTAGGTTTGATAGGATAAACAATAAATTTTAGTTGGAAATACCAAACCAATTTATATTCCATTGGTATAATTGAGAGTTATTGAGCATATCCATATAAGTCCAGTTATTCAACGCACGAGCATAAACTATAAATGAAACGGCTGTAGGGCTGTAAATGGCAGTATAACCCCCAGCAAACCAGTGATCATTACTCCCATCCATACTAGTAAAGTACAGTGGCGTTGAATTAAAACTACAATTAACCGTACTAATGGCCATCGTAATGCCGGACGTAGAATACACTTGCCAGAGTGTATACAATGAAGTGTCTCCGCAGTAATATGCTTGCGCGGTTGCATTCGTTAGGTTTAATTGGGTGGTAGCTAAATAGAACAAAAGAGACTGTTTTTTTCAAGAATACTGTAAATGCAAATTCTTTTAATAATGTAAAAACATGAATATAGTGTTTAGATTATTTTTAACTTAACAGGTTATAAACGTTTATTTGAGTCTTATGGTATCAAAATCGGCATTATGTTTCTTAAAAAATTCTGGCAAGTATTTAAAACGCATTGCGTTTTGTTCATGAAACATTTGAATCTATTGCCAATAAGTCTCTTTATGTTTTGTAATAAGAGGTTTGAATGTAAAAAACGCAGTTACTTGTTGTGATGGTTGTCGAAGAAGTTGATGTGGTGGATAGAGTTTTATAGGCTAAAACAGAAAATAAATAAAATGATATATTGAACTTATTTCGATGTAGAAACTAAAGTGTGTCCGAGGTTGATTACCACTTTCTTTCTTCTACTAATAAACATATTACAGATGTTGTTAGACTCGGAACACATTTTTAGATATCAACCATAAATATTCTCAAGTTAATAAATCAAATTATTGGATGTAGATAGATTCGAACTATTCCTACAAATAGTTGAGATTTCCTGCAAGACAATCTACCGTTCACATTCTTACTCATTCATCTGCACTTACATTGTTCGATGTATAATGTAAGGACAGTAGCTATTGCGATACCACCTAGTAGTGCAACAATAAGGCCCAGTATGATGCATAACTCATAGTTTAGTTGATATTGCTGCTGCTGCTTCATCTTTTCTTTCTAGTGCTTTTTCACTGACGATTTGCTTATCGTTAATCTACGATGAATGAAAAGAGAAAAAGGGAGTTAATTTAATTATTTCGGAATAAACATACTATGAGATGTGAAGAACTGCATTCATAAGTATCAATGTTTATTTTCAATTTAAAAATGCATGGCTAACTGATTGTATGAATAGATTCTTTTTGTTTGTCTAAAAATAAAATTTCAAATAAGAACTGAAACAGAATTTTTCTCATTGCTTCTGTCTCTACCTTTTATTTAATGTACTTTTAATAAAAAGCCGTACAATCTTTCTTTTTCTTCGTTGTAAAAGTCAATGTCTCCACTGATATCGAATGGTAAAATGTAGTTTATTCATTTCTCACGATCGAAATATTATTCTAGTAGAAACTATTTAAATTTTTTTCATCCGAGCAATTGAAACCTTGCTTACTCTAAGTGAATAAATTGATGCAACGCTAACAATATGACCAATTATACGTAAAATACAGCCCACCTATAGAAAAAGAAATCATGGTGTTTTAGAAACCATAATCTGTAGAATGAGCCACTGAATAAGATGCAAGACGCCACATAAACAACTGAGGTATATTGCTCATCGTTCAATGATTTCGGGCATATGTGCAGGATTTGCTATTGGTCCAAAAACTAACACACACGTTGGAAGCACTCGTAGGATCAATTATTTTATGTCTGCAAAACTAAAATACTCCGGTCGACTGGTTTTGCAGAATTTACAAGTGTAACTGAGAAATATCTTTATTTGAAAAAGAAATCGAGCATTGAGAACTTCAATCATATTTATAAAAAGGATAAATATATTTCTTTTCCTTGAAACATCTTCCGGGATGAATTCATCATTTTATTTTATGAAGTTTTACAATTATGTTAGGTTAACCAAATAAATGTATACAATTTATTTAATAAGAAAAACCCAACCAATTCGCATTCCATAGACTTGTTTGAGCAATGGCAACCATTTGTGTGCTATTCCAGTTAGCCCACGAACTAGCGTAAATTGTAAATGAAATATTCGTAGCAATACTAATACCAGTATAACCAATCAATGTCCAATGGGAACCTAAGCCAGCCATACTAGTGAAATATATTGGTGTTGCATTAAAACTACAATTCGTAGTATCAATGTTCATCATCATTACGTCTACATCGTATGGTTGCCAAAGTGTATAGGATGAGATACCTCCACAAAAATATATTGGCTTGGTCGTATTCGTTTGGTTCAACATCGTTGCAACTAAAGAAAACAAAGAAGACATATTATTATTCATGACTGAAAACTAACCGATTCGAAAGACGATTATAAACAGAACGTCTATCGAGGTTTTTTTTATGGTTTTATTAAACTTTTTTCAAGAAAATAATATTGAGTTCTGATATTGACAAATTTCTAATGATATATTAAAACGAATCTGATGCTTTATTATGCACTCTTTACCTCCTTTAAGTTTAAAAAAATCAAGCATGGGATCAATATTGTGTAGCTACTACTACTGCATTATTCTCAAGTTAATAATTCATAACCGAGCCAATGGAAAAAGACTCACCAGTTGTACTTGTCGTATACTGTATTGTGGAGGCTAAAACTAAAAAGTAAACAATGCAAAATCCGGATTTAATGTGCTTGAAGGCTAATCATATGAAATTTCTTTTTTCTACACTTACTTTTCTGTTTCATGTACAATGTAAGCAAAGTTGTGAATGGAATACCACCTAGCAATATCCCTACAAGACTCATGACGAAAAACAAATCATATTTTGCTAGTGGAAAAGTCATTTTTCTGCTAGGTTTTTAGTGGTGCAGTTTGATTTAAAGCTTTTGCAAAATACTAAGTTGAGTCAACGAAATCAATTTATTATTCATTGCCGTTGAATATATTATGTAGTTAACGATTCCTTATAATTTTGCATAAACAGAAAAGAAAAATATGGCGATTGCTTTCTTTTGGACTTTGTTTAATCAATTTTTATTGACGAACTACACAATAAGTTGTATTCTTTTCATCAGTAATAAATATAGTCGTCTGAAGTACTTCTGATAATCTAGGTATTCTCTTTGTAGGTAATAATAAATATTCTGTGTACTCAAGTCATCAAAACTTGAGTTAAGCTCGAAAGAAAGATTATTGTAAAATCGACATGATAAAAATAAACATTGGATTTAACAAAATCACAAAATACTGAAAGTATAAGGTTCAAAATAATTCTTCATCGTACTGATTTTCTTCGCAAATCATAATTTCGAAGGCTTCTCAATCTGCGAATTAAAATGAATTAGCATAGGCAAGAAACCCAGTTTGGTGATTCCAGCCGTATATGTTAGATTCACAATTGGATTCTTTATCAAATGTGTCGAGTTCATGTAGGGTGTAGATGTGAGCGAAAGATGAAGCGTGACTTGTGTGTTTATTCCGTCCGACATCGGCTCAGATCCATGAAGTTCCACATCCATACCCTCTAGTTGATATATATTTACTATTTATTAGTAAATCAACAAATAAATATTTTACGGACTTATTTACTGGCGAAGATAAAGCGTTACTCTTATTCGTAAACGCAAATTATGTATTTTTACAGTATTTTTGCCAAAAAATGACCGAATAGAAATGAAAACAACATATTCGTGACCAGCTCGTCCAACTCTATCAAACTATATGTAGATGAAAAACGCTGTTCAGCACAGCCCGTTTGAGACTAAAATGTGGAACTCACCTATATACTTGAAGCCTCGATAAACCAATAAAAATGTGTAAAATGAAACATTTCTCAGACTACTGATTTTTCAAAATAATTGATCATCACAGGAAAAGCTCTCATTTATTTTTACTTTTTCAAAAGATTATTGTATTTTGGTTCGTGCCATTTTTGCTTCTAATTAATAATTAGCTTTTAATGTCTGTAATGGGTATGTCTGTACGGGGAGAGAGAGTGGGGAGCCGCAAAATTCTGCTCCTTAAACTTACACTCACTGTTTTCTTCAAAAATAATCGCGAGTTCCACAAAAGAAAAAAACTTTTAGTTGAATTTCGCATTGCGTGTACCTTAAAATCGTGCAGGAACTCCTTCTCAAAAGTGAAGGCCCTGCGTGGAAAACAGTGCATCGACCATTTTAGAAGACCATGTTCTAATCAAATGACTAGTTATTCTTTTTTTTTTGAAACTAGCTAATAATAGGTCAAAATTTGACCTCAATAAAGAGTTACCGAAAATTCATGATGCGCGTTGACGTAATACAGGATCAGACGCTTTTATTCTAGAGGGAGAGTAATTAGATAGACAGTGATTTAAAAATGTGTTTCAGACAGGCAGGGAAACTTAATTAATTATCATTCTGCAGACGCTAGATGCTTCAGTCTAGGAAACAAATAGCTGTTTTGTCCGTAAGGCACAGCTTCTTCACTTGGCACGTCACATCTAGATATTGTAATCAATTGAGGTGAAATTTATCGAGCATATATAAATAGAGTAGTTGAGTATTACGGGTATCAGAAATGTCACCTCTTCATTAGTTATAAGATCGTCAGATAATTAGGATATTTTTTCCCAAAGTGCCCTTGCCTTACGCTTAGTCAGATCGTTAACAAATATTCTTCCTAAAGTTTATTTTCTTTATCCAATATATGTTGCCTGGCCATAATATTTCCCAATTTTTCAGATCAAGCTCGGTACAGTCTGGATCTGTTACCACATAATTTCGTTGTGTGAAAAAGTCAATCATAGATTGATATCGTTTTTGATATCTTTTCCTGAAACCATGTCCCCATTCCATCATGACGAGTTGAATATCAATAAGTTCAAACATTTTAGAGCCAGTCTCACACATATAATTCTCTGATCCTTCAATGTCTATCTTAATTATAACAGATTGAACTCTTTTTTCCAACAATATGGGAAGCAGATCGTCGAATCGAATTGTCTGCACAATGATTTGACTGGTAAAATTCTGTTCCGTTGGTTTCTTTAGCTCTATGCCAGATGGAGGACCATCTGACAATGTCAAGTACTTGCCCGATTCTGAGTACAGTGCATTGTGAACGAGAACAACACGATTTTGCACCTTTTGAATTTGCACGGCACGTACGATGCGTTCAATGTTTGGCAAGTAGCAATCAACCGCTAGTGTGAAACGACCTAGAGCCCCAGTAGTGAACATTGTGAAACTCCCAATATTGGCTCCGATATCGATCATGTCCAGAAAAGGATTACGAATAAGAATGCGTAATAGGCGCGTTACATATTCTTCTTCCCATATACGATCAGCTACAATTTCACGACTGACAATATCTGCACTCGAATGTACGCAAACAGTTGTAGAATATAAATCTAACAGTTTTTTAGTTTCAATGCACGTAATATTGCTCTTTATGTCCTGATTAGGATCAATTATATTGACAGATGCGGCTAGAGAGCTGATCGTTTGTGCCGGCGTTACAGGAAATTTGCAATATGTAACGGATAACAAGTAAAAGCTGACTGATACACAACAGCTGATAATTAAACACAATGGAAATGTAACCAACCGTCTTAGATTAATACAATTTGATATATTCATCTAAAATTAAGAGTAATTTCGGAGAAATTCAAAAGTTCCTATAAACATATTATAGTTAAATATCTCCGATACTGTTTATTGTTTGATATTTTATAGACTATTTTGATCATGACCTCATCAAAGCATTAGGTTCTGATGTGAAAGCACAACAGTAAAATTGTTTTCCTAAGTTTCAATGCTGTGCTTAGAAGAGTTCAAAAGTTTTTGAAATCAAGTAACTCTAGAATTGATTTTGTGATGACGATAGGCTTTTAAAGCTTTTCTCAGAACGAATTATCAAAAGTATGCCGACTTTGTACAGAAATACTGTGTAGAAGAATCTGAACTATTGACCTATGATAGTATTAAATGCTCAGGAACTAAAAAATAAAATAATGAAAACTTCTTCATCAGAATAACGAATAAATCCATGTTAGTGATGATAAGAAAAACAAAACCCTTTCGATAGCGGAACGGATGTTCTCGCCGATTTTATCTGAAACTCACCCCTTACTTATGAGCAGGAAATATGACGATGTATACTAGTCTCATGATGTTTTCCATAACACTACGAAAAAAACAGTCACTAGCCAAGAATTCATATCTCCTAGTGGTGTACTCTCTAAAAAAAAAGTGTATTCTAGGAAACTCAAAATAGGTTTCCGAGTCCTCGGGAACCGAGAAACCAAATAAAAATTTCATTCGGATACCAATGTCGGAAACAGATTAAAGGTATCCGAGATTGCCTTCTTCTCGTTCTCCATCGAGAGCCACCAGATTGCTATAGCCAGGGTCAATCGTTCCGCCCACCGGATGCTGCAGAAACCGACAGAAAAGCCGCCGGAAGTCACCATACCCTGCATGGAAACACACGATATCGCTGGAACATGGAAGCAGTATCCCGCCCGTAAAGTTNAGTTTTCCAAGTTGTTTCTCATGATTTCCGCTGCATCTTGCCGAAAAATACAGTAAGTTGGTTGGCAAATCATCAAAACAAATCCAGAAAAATTGCGGCCTGAACACTGCTACCATCGTTTAATGATATCCTCTGTTTTCGTACAGTACACCGTGGTTTTCAGGCATCTTTACTGTCAGTGTCTCCAGGATTCAGTGAAAAAAACGATCGACATGGGATGTTGGATCTAAAAAGAAATAGCACATTTCATCAGCTTTTAGCTATTAAACTCGAACTCACAGTTATTATTTTCTAATCTTATGCGGGGCCT